AAAACGAAACCGAAAACAACAAAATTTCCATTCTTTTACTATAGCGGATAACATTTGAGAAAACACCGGAAAATAAAAGCGAAAAGACATATCTAAACAACAATTTAAAAACAGAAAAAAAAGAAAGATGAAAATTGTAAATAAAAAAGACGACAAAAACAAGCCAATTATTTTGAGATAAATCGTATTTCAACCGTGCTAAATTAGTGCCCACATAATTCTTTTCCCACGCGCTTTGTAGTAGCTGAATAAAACTCAAAAAAATGTATTTGACTGAGGTGAATAAACTAAACAAACACGGCCGCGGAGGTCGCCGTAAAGTAAATATGCAGAAATCCACGGTGCAAAAATACTGTTAACTTTAAAAGCCTAAAATTTCCAAAGAAAGGTAACCAAATGAAAGAAACATGACAGGAAGTTCAATAGCAATAAATTTTCATTCGAGATGAGGCAAAAAAAAAAAAAAAAACTATCTAAAAGCAAAAAAATATTTTTTTAAAATTTCGCTGACGTGCTTCGCTGCGTGAAGCATGTTCAAGTTAATTCTTCACACTGAAGCGAAAGCTTGAGTTTTTGCCGACGGCTTTTGCAGTCATTTTATCGGCCGTGGCTTTACTAGTCGTTCCAAAATCTGAATTAAACTTCGAAGTAATACTGTACATTATCATTTTTGTTTTCTAAAGTCCAGGAAGCTGCTTGAAATCCGCGATCTGTATCCACCGACTTTGTAAACACAAGGTTGTATTTACCTTCAAAAGCATCCTTAATTTCCTTGTCAGAACTTTCTGGCCCCAAAACTACAGCTTTGACTCCTTTCTCGTTCAGGCTGGACACGTAGTCTTTCATCAAGGAAATCAAAGAAAAAATAGCAGGCAAACTGTCTAAAAAAATTCTGTTTCACCATGTTCTAAAAAGTCCAATACAAACGGCGTAATGTGGAATGCTCCACTTTTTGCAGATCCAGACGGTGATCGCGACGACTAATGTATCCTTCAACTACCTTGATTCACTCTGATGTCTTCGAAACCAAGATTCTTGAGCAACACATCTTGTTTCAGCTTACCTGTTTTGTGTGTAGCTTGCGAAGAGCCCCGGTGCAAAACAAGTCATGAAGACCTTCCCTCAAAACAAACTTTGCGACTCTATTTGCCGACGAATGAACACATGTGACCTTTAAGCTTTAAAAACCACGGGTAGAACATGAACGACAGGGGACAGACAATCTTCGTACAGACTCGAGCCTGCTGAGTTATCAGCTGTTTAATTAATTGTAGTCTTTTATTTTCTCCGCTTAATTCATGTTATGCTCACTTAGCACAGCGTGTAGTGGACAAGTCCACATTAGAAAGTAACCGCGATCAACTCCGGGTACACGTAGATTTTTTTTTCCTTTCTTTTTTCAATGTCTTTAGCGATACAATAAAAAAATGCTCTGTGTTTATATCATTTCGCTCGCTATATGTGCATTTACCATACCATAACCGTACTTCAACGACTTCCGTTTCTGTAAAATCCATATGAAGTCCGCATCCAGTGAGAACTTATGCTGCTCATCGATTTTACGATTCTGGATGTTCTCATTTTCGGCGGCCGAGTCTTCTGTAACTTATATCTTTTAATTTAGACCTTTAAAACAGCTTATTTTAATTAAAGATGAACAGCAATTTAAAAG